GTAAGCAAACTTTGTTTTTTTTATTTTTGCACTTAAAAATTTTATAACAAAGAAAACTGGACAACACATTTTTAATTGCCAAATATAAAGTTAGTACATTTATGTCTTAGCTGTTAATATTCAAATCAGATTTTTTTTATTATCAACAATAAAATGAAAACTTTCTCACCTTTAATTGTTATTTTAAGAGGATCACAAACAGCTGTTACTCTGAACGGCCAGTTCATAATTCTGAAGTAGTATGTGTTTGTATAATTTGTGGTTAAGTTGGAAAACAGAGTGGTGCAGTTTTTCTCCTTCAGGTTTCCTGTAATATTCATTGGATACATGTTAACTGTCTTACTGCTGTTGAAGATCTCATTGCTTGGAAATATATTAACATTGGAGTGCTTTTTAATCCACACTCCAAAAACAGGTCTTGTGCTGTCAAACTTTTCTGTTCTGGTTTCACTAAAGTTACATGGGATTTGTAAACAAGATCCACTCAGAGCTTCCATCTCTGTTGGTGAAGTGATGAACAGGTTTGAATCTTGAGGACAAGCAGCCAAAGTACCTGGAAAAAATCAAAACAAACTCATACACATGATGGGAAACAGAATTATGATACACTGAGTTTATTAGACGTGTGTTGCAGTTCAGTTTCAGTTTTATTTGTCATATGCAAGTTAGCACAGGGTCAACATTGCAATGAAATGTATTTGACGAGCAGAAGACAAGTCACAAGACAAATGGAATATTGCACATGACACAAAGTGGCAGGAGTGAGCAGCAGCACAAACTGAGCAGTACAAACTTGCACGGAGTGATGTTTTTTTTCTCTAAAGTATCTCCATCTGCACTGATCTGTCAGACTGTAAATGACTGAAATGAGACGACTCACTTGGAATAAAGAGGAGACTCAGTAACATGATGCCTGTCATGATGTTCACAGACTGGACTGTCACAAAACTCATCACCTGTATAAAAAAAACATAAGATCACATAAAGGTTTGATCAGATCAGGAACTTGCATTGTTTTATAGAGCAATACAAAATTTACATTTATTTTAAATCAGACAAACAAAAATAAAGCACTTCTTTTTATTGTGATATAAAAATCTTGTAAGATGCAATAAATGTTTTCTTACCTAATAATCAGACTGCTACAGAGGAGAAATGACAAAATAAAAGTCCGTGTGTGATTCCAGCAGAAACACAGCGAGTGAAACACTTCTCCGTTTAGATGTTGTAATGTCAAAGCAAACAGACCTGTGAAGCTTTTGTCTTTCTTTTTCAGTCAGTCTGCCTTTTATGTTCCCATTATGCACATGTTGTCAGTTTAGTAGCCACCACTTCCATCTGCCTGTTTATAGATTCACTTGACCCCCCACTCACACACTAACCTGTTCCTCATTCTCTCATTAATATTAGTATTTGTGTCTTAGCTTTTCTGTTCTTCTTTTTGTGTCTCTGTGTGTGTCTGTACTCACACAGGTTACAGCTTTGTGTTGATCAACTTCCTCGATGTGTTTAGATCTTTCTGCTTTTATTTAATGATTCCTTCTTCAGTTGATCCACTCGGCCAATAGATGTCTAAATGTTTTTATATTTATTGTTTCTAGTGTGTTTCCTTCAGCACCAAAATAATTGCATATTGAGAGAAGGTAATTATGGAGAGAAGAAAACAGTTGGAAAAACAAAACGCAATGAACAGAATATTACTGACAAAGTGACAGCAAAACTAAAGAAAGGTGCCAGAATAGACAGTCTATTGCAGTTTGTTGTGTATGGGGCATATTCAGACACATATTCAGTAAATGCAAATTATTTACATGGCAGTGCACTACAGGCATAAATCTAGAC